CTCTTTCGCTAAATGCAAAATGCAAGAAAGATAATGAAAAAGAGTCGAAATTAAACTTGTTGCCTACTTTTGCATCGAAAATAATCTACTTAAACTCTACAGTTTAGGACAAGAAATACCTCCATTAACACAGTGATATACACATCTACTGAGAGGACAGAATCAAATTTTCTCTCATTATATACATCAAAATCTCCCTAGCACTACCATCAGCACACTTAAAGTTTTATCGTGGACATTTTCAAAAATACATAGAGAGAGAATAGTATAAGGACCCTTCCCCTTGCCCAGATTTAACAGCCATCAATCCAAGGCCAGTCTTTTTTTCACCCACTCCCACTCCCCACTCCCTGGATTACTTCCATGCAGATCCCAGGCATCACATTATTTCATCTGTAAAATCTTCAGTATATTTCACTAAAAGTTTTAAATAATAACATAACCATGAAATTTAAAAAATTAACAGTAATTCCTTAATTTCATTAAATATTTAGTGTGAATACACTTTAAAAACATAACAAGATGTAGCTCAAAAAGCACTTCGTGCCTCCTAAGGAAAGTAATTAGAAAGATGCTCCGTCTGGATCATGTTAATAAACAATTAACAACTGGCGCTTCTCTATTTGTGAACATCCTTGGAAAATACATTTAGTGCCTGTGTTACCTTCCCTAGGTCAGCACAGATTCAACTAAACTTATCTAGAAGGAGGGTCACTGGTTTTCTACAAAATGGAAACGGAAGGCCCAGTGATGACAGCCGGAGATGGCACTCACCCAGGCTCGCGGGGTGCACCTCAGCAGCTTCTGGCCCACGTTGTTCTTCTGCCTCATTCCCCAGGCTCATCAGGGACTTCTGCTTCATCTCTAACTGGGGAAGGATTTGAGCCACGTCATTACGCTGTCCAGACAGGGCAGCAAGGGCAGCCACAGCAAAGTACTTCAAAGGCACACAGTGCTGAGACCCTGGAGAACTTTACAGTCCTGTGCACAGGACTGAGCTGTGCTTGTTTGTCCTAGAAATAATTGAGGATTTGAAGCTGCCTAAAGGTCTATCTGCAAGACTACCTCCTTTTCAACTATGTGTTATTTGGGAGGGATTTGTAACCATGACCCTATTCTTTAAAAAATTCTAGAACCCTGGAGTTGGAGGGGCCCTCACCTAAAGCTGACCTAGTACAGATAAAGAAATGAGGTCTCAGGACTTCCCTGGTGGTACACTGGTTAGGACTCTGTGCTTCCACTGAAAGGGGCACGGGTTCAATCCCTGGTCGGGGAACTAAGATCCTGCAAGCCGCGTGGTGTGGCCAGAAATCACACACCCGGTTTGCAGCAGAGGTTGAACCACAAGTTGATCTCTATTCTCCTCCAAAGGAGGGGACACCTCTAAGTGATGCTGAGACTGCCAGGCAGAGAATGGTGCTTCTAGTACCAGCACAGGCAATGGTCACAGTTTGGGCCATGGTGCTGACAGCCCAGACAGAAGACCATGTGTGATGTATGTAGACCAAGGTCTTAGAGAGAAGGCTGGTATCTTGTCCAGTCATTGGCAGTCTGGCATATGCTAAACCAGAAGCATAATCTACAATGTGCTTTGCCACAACTGCCAAATCCTTTTTACTTGAACTGTGTGTGGCTGCTGA